ATCTGTCTGTCCTTTCTGCAGCAGTATGTCTTATACATGTAACAGCTAGTTCCTCATGCCCCTTGTCTACACTCACACCTTACTGACTACAGACAATAAGCATGTGTTACCCATGGTCTACAGTCGAAATCGCTTTGTGTTCTTCTACCTACAGGCAATAACTAGTGCCTCCTTTTGTCTACAGACAAACACATTTTCCCCAATATGTCTAAAGACAACAACTGTTGCTGCCCCTCTGTCTACTGACAATAACTGTTTGTGCCCCTCTGTCTACAGACAATAACTGTTGCTGCCCCTCTGTCTACTGACAATAGCTGTTGGTGTCCCACTGTCTACTGACAATACCTGTTGGTGCCCTGTCTGTCTACTGACAATAACAGTTGATGCCCCTCTGTCTACTGACAATACCTGTTGGTGTCCCACTGTCTACTGACAATAAATAACCTTTGGTGCCCCCCTGTCTACAGAAAATATAAGTTGGTCCCCACTGTCTACAGACAATAACTTTTGGTGTCCCACGTTCTGCTGACAATAACTGTTGGTTCCGCTGTGTCTACTGAAATAACTGTTAGTGCCCCACTGTCAACTGACAATAACTGTTGACTGTTGGTCCCCTTCTGTCTACTGACTATAACTGTTGGTGCCCCTCTGTATACTGACAATAACTGTTGGTTACCCTCTGTCTACTGACAATAACTGTTGGTGCCCTCTCTGCCTACTGACAATAACTGGTGGTGCCCCTCTGTCTACAGACAATAACTGTTGGTTACCCTCTGTCTACTGACAATAACTGGTGGTGCCCCTCTTTCTACTGACAATAACTGTTGGTGCCCCTCTTTCTACTGACAATAACTGTTGGTGCCCCTCTGTCTACAGACAATAACTGTTAGTGCCACTCTTTCTACTGACAATAACTGTTGGTGCCCCTCTTTCTACTGACAATAACTGTTGGTGCCCCTCTGTCTACAGACAATAACTGTTAGTGCCCCTCTTTCTACTGACAATAACTGTTGGTGCCCCTCTTTCTACTGACAATAACTGTTGGTGCCCCTCTTTCTACTGACAATAACTGTTGGTGCCCCTCTTTCTACTGACAATAACTGTTGGTGCCCCTCTGTCTACAGACAATAACTGTTGGTGCCCCTCTTTCTACTGACAATAACTGTTGGTTACCCTCTGTCTACTGACAATAACTGTTGGTGCCTCTCTGTCTACAGAAAAAAACTGTTGGCGACCATCTTTCTACTGACAATAACTGTTGGTGCCCTCTCTGCCTACTGACAATAATTGGTGGTTCCCCACTGTCTACTGACAATAACTGTTGGTGCCTCTCTGTCTACAAAAAATATCTGTTGGTGCCCCTCTGTCTACTGACAATAACTGTTGGCGCCTCTCTGTCTACAGAAAATAACTGTTGGTGCCCCTCTTTCTACTGACAATAACTGTTGGTGCCTCTCTTTCTACTGACAATAACTGCTGGTGCCTCTCTTTCTACAGAAAATAACTGTTGGCGCCTCTCTGTCTACAGAAAATAACTGTTGGTGCCCCTCTGTCTACAGAAAATAACTGTTGGTGCCTCTCTGTCTACAGAAAATAACTGTTGGTGCCCTCTGTCTACAGACAATAACTGTTGGTGCCTCTCTGTCTACAGAAAATAACTGTTGGTGTCCCACTGCCTACTAACTGTTGGTGCCTCTCTGTCTATTGACAATAATTACTGGTGCCCATCTGTCTACTGACAATAACTGTTGGTGCCCCTCTCTCTACTGACAATAACTGTTGGTTCCCTCCTGTCTACTGACAATCAGTAACTGTTGGTGCCCCACTGTCTACTGCCAATAACTGTTGGTGCACCACTGTCTACTGACAATAACTGTTGGTGCACCACTGTCTACTGCCAATAACTGTTGGTGCACCACTGTCTACTGACAATAACTGTTGGTGCACCACTGTCTAATGCCAATAACTGTTGGTGCACCACTGTCTACTGACAATAACTGTTGGTGCCCCACTGTCTACTGACAATACCAGTTGGTTCCCTGTCTATCTACAGACAAACACTGTTGGTGCCCCTCTGTTTACTGACAATATCTTGTGGTGCCCCACTGTCTAATGACAATAACTGTTAGTGCCCTCTCTGTCTACAGAAAATAACTGTTGGTGCCTCCTTGTCTCCAGAAAATAACTGTTGGTGTCTCACTGCCTACTAACTGTTGGTGCCTCTCTGTCTATTGACAATAAATAAAGGTGCCCATCTGTCTACTGACAATAACTGTTGGTGCCCCTCTCTCTACTGACAATATCTGTTGGTTCCCTCCTGTCTACTGACAATCAGTAACTGTTGGTGCCCCACTGTCTACTGCCAATAACTGTTGGTGCACCACTGTCTACTGACAATAACTGTTGGTGCACCACTGTCTACTGACAATAACTGTTGGTGCACCACTGTCTACTGACAATAACTGTTGGTGCAGTGCACCACTGTCTACTGACAATAACTGTTGGTGGCCCTCAGTCTACTGACATGACGGTTCGTGCCCTTCTGCCTACTGACAATAACTGGTGGTGCCCCACTGTCTACTGACAATACCAGTTGGTTCCCTGTCTATCTACAGACAAAAACTGTTGGTGCCCCTCTGTTTACTGACAATATCTTGTGGTGCCCCACTGTCTACTGACAATAACTGTTAGTGCCCTCTCTGCCTACTGACAATAACTGTTGGTGCACCACTGTCTACAGACAATAACTGTTGATAGCCCTCTGTCTACTGACAATAGATGTTGGTGCCCCTCAGTCTACTGACATAACAGTTGGTGCCCCTCTGTCTACAGACAATAACTGTTGGTGCACCACTACTGACAATACTGTTGGTGCCCCACTGTCTACTGACAATAGTGCCCCACTGTCAACAGACAATAACGGTTGGTGCCCCACTGTCTACTGACAATAACTGTTGGTGCCCCTCTGTCTACTGACAATAACTGTTGGTGCCCCACTGTCTACTGACAATAACGGTTGGTGCCCTCTGTCTACAGACAATAACTGTTGGTGCCCCACTGTCTACTGACAATAACTGGTGGTGCCCCTCTGTCTACTGACAATAGATGTTGGTGCCCCTCAGTCTACTGACATAACTGTTGGTGCCCCTCTGTTTACTGACAATAACTGTTGGTGCCCCTCTGTCTACTGACAATAACTGTTGGTGCCCCTCTGTCTACAGATCTGTTGGTGCCTACCTGTCTACTGACAATAGCTGTTGGTGCCCCACTATCTACCAATAACTGTTGGTGCCCCACTGTCTACTGACAATAACTGTTGGTGCCCCTCTGTCTACTGACAATAACTGTTGGTGCCCCTCTGTCTACTGACAATAACTGTTGGTGCCCTCTGTCTACTGACAATAACTGTTGGTGCCCCACTGCTGCCACTACCCTGTCTACTGACAATAACTGTTGGTGCCCCTCTGTCTACAGACAATAACTGTTGGTGCCCCACTGTCTACTGACAATAACTGTTGGTGCCCACTCTTACTGTCTACTGACAATAACTGTTGGTGCCCTGTCTACTGACAATAACTGTTGGTGCCCCTCTCTACTGACATAACGGTTGGTGCCTTTCTGTCTACTGACAATAACTGTTGGTGCCCTCTGTCTACTGACAATAACTGTTGGTGCCCTCTGTCTACTGACAATAACTGTTGGTGCCCCCTCTGTCTACTGACAATAACTGTTGGTGCCCCACTGTCTACTGACAATAACTGTTGGTGCCCCACTGTCTACTGACAATAACTGTTGGTGCCCCACTGTCTACTGACAATAACTGTTGGTGCCCCTCTGTCTACTGACAATAGATGTTGGTGCCCCTCAGTCTACTGACATAACAGTTGGTGCCCCTCTGTCTACAGACAATAACTGTTGGTGCACCACTACTTACAATAGCGGTTGGTGCCCCACTATCTACAGACAATAACGGTTGGTGCCCCTCTGTCTACTGACAATAACTGTTGGTGCCTCTCTGTCTACAGAAAATAACTGTTGGTGCCTCTCTGTCTACAGAAAATAACTGTTGGTGCCTCTCTGTCTACAGAAAATAACTGTTGGTGCCTCTCTGCCTACAGAAAATAACTGTTGGTGTCCCACTGTCTACTAACGGTTGGTGCCCCACTGTCTACTGACAATAACGGTTGGTGCACCACTGTGTACTGACAATAACTGTTGGTGCACCACTACTGACAATAGCTGTTGGTGCCCCACTGTCTACAGACAATAACGGTTGGTGCCCCACTGTCTACTGACAATAACTGTTGGTGCCCCTCTGTCTACTGACAATAGATGTTGGTGCCCCTCAGTCTACTGACATAACTGTTGGTGCCCCTCTGTCTACAGACAATAACTGTTGGTGCACCACTACTTACAATAGCGGTTGGTGCCCCACTATCTACAGACAATAACGGTTGGTGCCCCTCTGTCTACTGACAATAACTGTTGGTGCCTCTCTGTCTACAGAAAATAACTGTTGGTGCCTCTCTGTCTACAGAAAATAACTGTTGGTGCCTCTCTGTCTACAGAAAATAACTGTTGGTGCCTCTCTGTCTACAGAAATAACTGTTGGTGTCCCACTGTCTACTAACGGTTGGTGCCCCACTGTCTACTGACAATAACGGTTGGTGCACCACTGTGTACTGACAATAACTGTTGGTGCCCCACCCTCTACGTACAATAATGGTTGGTGCCACTCTTTCTACTTACAATAACGGTTTGTGCCCCTCTGTCTACTGACAGTCAATAACAGTTGGTGCCCCTCTGTCTACTGGCAATAACTGTTGGTGCCCGACTGTCTACTGACAATAACGGTTGGTGTACCACTGTCTACTGACAATAACTGTTGGTGCCCCTCTGTCTACAGACAATAGATGTTGGTGCCCCTCTGTCTTCTGACAATAACTGTTGGTGCCCCTCTGTCTTCTGACAATAACTGTTGGTGCCCCACTCTCTACTGACAATAACTGTTGGTGCCCCTCTGTCCACTGACAATAACTCCGCGTGCCGCAAATCTCGATAGGCAATAACTTATTGTGCCCTCTGTGTCTACAGACAGTACCTCTTTGTGCCCCACTGCCTACAAAGAGTAACTCTTTGTGCCCCCTCTGTCTACAGACAGTAACTCTTTGTGCCCCCTCTGTCTACAGACTGTAACTCTTTGTGCCCACTGCCCCATTGCCCCTCTGTCTACAGACAGTAACTCTTTGTGCCCCTCTGTCTACAGACCTCTTTATGCCTCCCACTGCCCCCTTTGTGCCCCACTGTCTACAGACAGTAACTCGTTGTGCCCCCTCTGTCTACAGACAGTACAACAGGCTAACAACCTACACCAGGCTGGAGTGGAGGTCATGGCTATCGGTATCGGTTCATCAGCGAACCAGCAGGAGCTCGCCAACATCGCCACCGACACCAAACACGTCTTCTCCGTCACCAACTTCGATTCTCTCAAAACCATTCAGAACGAACTCCAACAGTCTACGTGCGCTGGTAGGGTGTATGGACACATTTACCACCAATTGACTTACGTGCTCTAATAAACTGGCATGGTAGTTATGTGTGTAAAATAATGTAAAATGTATTTTAGATCATCAAATATAGACATGCTAAATATGATTATATTTTTTTATTTTGACAGTTCAATCCACAACCATCCCAGGTACTGTATCTTTTATCAGCTAACATTTCAGGGAAGGTATATCACGATTCTTAATAATAAGAATAATGTATTTTGTAAAACCATGCTGTCCATGCCACCTATGATGGATACATCAACATGAAGAATATCAAAATGAAATACGATCACCACAACAAAATGCATTCTCTCGAGAGCTTATTGTGCAGTCAATCGCTTATTTTTTAAAAATATACTCTCCCCAAATAGAAACGCCTAAGTGTATTTTCACGAATTTATTCTGCTAACTTGTTAAAGTGAGATGACACATGGAAGTCTGGATCAGTTGCAGCAAAATTTCACAGAGTAAAAGATTAAATGTATGTTAACATATAGATCTTATAAAAATTTCAATAAGTGAAGGTATCAGTTCGAAGTTGGCCGTTGTCTTCAATATCTGTTGTGGCCACCATGAGCCCCCCCAAAACTGCTCTGTCTTGGCGTGGAATGAATAAGTCTTTGAATTCGACCTTGTGGAGTTATGGCCCATTCCTCATAGCCTGCGACAATTCATCTGGGGCGCCGGTTGACGTTCACGTACGCGCGGGGCCAAGGTCATCCCACAAATGCTGAGGTCGGGAGATTTGGAAGGCAATGGAAGCTGAATAGTGGCATGTGCTGTGTGAGGCCTGGTATTATCTTGCCGGAACAACTCCCTTTGGCTGTCAATCTTCGGAACCATGTGAATCCTTAAGGTTTCGTTTCTTTAACGAATAGCGGTAAAATTGCCCCGAATGTTAGATTTCTTCGTGTAGGAAATGGCTCCCCTCATCATGACACTCGCACCTCGGTCCACCTGGGCGACACAATCCTGGGCAAAACGTTCATCTCGACGTCGATAGACACGTACTCTTCCGTCACGGCACTGAAGCAGAAAGCGTGATTCGTCACTGAACCATACACCTCGACAGTTTTGTAGATTCATGAATGGAACATTATTGCACCACTGGACCCGTCGACGTCGATGTAGTGGTCGCAGCACAAGGCCAAAATAGGATCTGGCTCAAAGTCCTGCTTCACGTAATAGAGTACGAATGGTTTGTGCCGACACTACTGCACTTACAGTTGCCGTTGCTGTGAAGGTTTTTAACTTCGTGGTCGATCTTGCGTAGAATCGGTTTGTTGACATCGGTCCCATTAACGACTGGGATGACGTGCAGCGGCAGACTGAGACTCCCAGGCCTCCAGACGTCAAATGCCAATGTTTCTATTTACAGCTGTTAGCCTTTCATGACGATATTCTTTCATGCAGCTATAAAATGACAATGACCCACTAAAAGCAAAACGGCTAATATGAAATGTCTCTGCTCACGATTCCTCAGAACTGCACGTGCATATTGCGAACCATTTTTTCTCCAAAATATGTTCATCCAAGTTGACACTTTAGAAAGTAAACGTGCATTAAATTTTGATGAGGTTTTGCTCTGTGCGTTCGTTCCATCTACACAAACCAACATTCTAATGGCGAAATTATAAGTCAAACATTAATTTTGAAAAATATCTGATATATATCAATATCATATATGCGTTTCTTTTTTGGGACAGTATATATCGAGTGCATTCTGTGATAAAGTTATAGATCACCCTGTGCCTAATGTATCGTCTTTTATTGCATGTGTTCAGCAACAACAAAACGTAAGTATGTTCTTCTTCATGTAAGTGGTAAACACTATAATTATATGCTCCCATGATCCAGACATACAATAGATGTTAAAGCTATATATATACCGACATAAAGGAAAGTAATCGGGACAATTCTGTTGTGGAAATCATCCTACATGCATACTTACATACATACATACATACATACATACATACATACATACATACATACATACATACATACATATAGCGCAGATATCCAGCTCAGCTGCTCAAAGGCGCTTTGTTTTTCCCTCGATCACTGGATGTCAATCTCAACAGCACGTGGTATTGTCAATCTTAACAGCACGTCGTATTATCAATCTCAACTCCCTGGAGATCATACAACTCTGCTGCAGGCTTGATAATTTACTAAGAGTTATATGCCTCATGCATAAACAAAATAATAATAATGCAGCACACAAAAGCAATGTCATGCAGATTGTTCGTGGTATAGTTGAATTTGATAACTTTAGTGAGTGAGTGAGGTTGGTTTTACACCGCTTTTAGCACAGTCCAGCAATATCAAGGCAGGGGACACCAGAAATGGGCTTCGCACATTGTGCCCATGCGGGGAATCGAACCCGGGTCTTCGGTGTGACGCGCGAACGCTTTTACAACTAGGCTACCGCACCGCCCCATTGGAATACTTTAACGTCACTGGACTCGTAACTCATACACAAACAATAATATTGGAATGATGCGGCTCCCAAAAACCCGAACTCTACGTTGTACATAGATGGATTGGATTGATTTGGTATAGTTGAATTTGGTTACTTTAACGTCATTGGGCTGAGATAGATAATAACTTTTAATTCTTAACTTTACAACTTCTATACATCTTTCCACTTGATCACCATGACTAGTTTCTTAGACAGCTGATCAGGTTACTCCATCTTCAAGATGATTCTTGTGACTCTCCCTTTATAATGTCTCCTCGTACTCCCTGTCCAGCTCGTCCATGCCCAGTGTCCGAGAAGGCGGATGTCATCTTCCTCCTGGACTCTTCCAGTAGTGAGGGATCTTCCAATTTCCAAAAGGAACTAGACTTCGTCGCCCAGTTTGTCAACGACTTCGACATTGGCCCAGATCACATGCAATTCGGGGCTATCCGGTTCAGTAGTGACGCCTCAATTGTGTTTGACCTCAATGCCCACACAACAAAGTCTTCCCTTCAGCAAGCGATCGCCTCCATCAGCTACAACGGCGGAAACACCTACACCGACAAGGCTTTGGCCTTGGCTCGGTCAAGCGGCTTCACGTCTGCTCACGGGGCCCGTCTTGGCGCCAACAGATACGTCATTGTCATCACGGATGGAGAGTCCCTGTTGCGGACTCAGACATTAAGTGAGGCAACTAAGCTGAAGAATGATGGTATTACTGTCATCAGTATCGGTGTGGGGTCATCGGTGCGCCAGTCCGAGCTGGACGGGATCGCTACAGACAAGACACACGTGTTCACAGTGAAGGACTTCACTGTGCTGCAGACCATTCATAAAGAAGTCCAGAAGAAAACATGTACAGGTGGGTGATTGTGCTTCTGAGTCTGACTGTGAATGATTGGCTGGTCGGCAAGGCATTTAGGTACTTTTGATCACCGGGATATGTACACATATATTTACTTAATATAATAGTAAGAGTGAGTTAGTAAGTGAGCTTTAACGCCCATTTAACGGTCCATCACGACAAGTGAGGAAAGGCTGACATTAAGTCTTAGACGTTTACTCTTTGTTGAACCCCACTGATATGGTAACCATGGCTACCCGGAACTAGAATCCAGGAGACATTAATGTTCGTATATATGTACCAAGGTTGGGTACATGGAGTTTATTGATTTCGTATTTTCGTACGTTCTTGCATTCCCTGACCAAGTACATAGTTTTGCTGCTATTCTATGTCAAAGAAATGGTATTTGGCCGAAATATTGCCTGTTTGACACTTCATATGAAAGTGAATTCATATTTAAGGAAATCTATTTTCTTATGTACGAAACAACACAAAATTACTGTAAAATCATGTGTTTTCTTTCTAATCTGCTTTGTCTACGTCTTCAGATGCTGGGCTATCGTTAACTACAACGTCTCCATAGCAACAATTCTATGCCAAAACTGTAAATTTGTACGTAAAATAGAATATGAAATGTATAGCTTGTGTTTTGTTAAAAGAATCAATTCATGTTTAACCTAGCGTTACCATTGATTTCTATTAACATACCACGGGAATGACGTTTACGGATTACAGAATTATCTCCATATATGGATTTTTAGGTGGGACAAACACGTTTTGTTGTGGAGTGAATCCTCAGTAGTTCGACGTATTCTGCAACATGGGATACATATCGAGTTACCTGTAATCGGAGACAGTGTGCCCACCTGTAATATGGGGAGACACATCGAGACCATGTTCTTTTGAGATACTTACACAAGATAATATAGACATAATATATGAACATGATTGACCAAAAAGCTACATTAAGAAAAGGATACACATCAGAACGATCTGGACACTTGACATAAATAAGCTTTCTTTGTGTCACTTTGCGCCATGTGGAGAAACAGGTGATTATTGCACAACGGAAACACCATGCGCTCCAACACACCTCCCAGCTCAGATAACCTGATTCTGTGGGTTATCTGCTGCGTCACCACAGCCACGGGTTGTGAGACTTGTCAGAGTGTCCGATAAGAATATGGACTTCCTATCTGGCAGCAGGTGTCGACCTGCATTGCCGTGTTGTGACCAGGTTAGGTTAGGGGCATAAGTTTTTAATACGCTACTCCAATTTCTAGATAACGCATTTTCAATATGACTGACTGACCGAGCTGCTTTTACGCCGCCTTTAGCAATATTCCAGCAATACCACGACGGGGGACACCAGAAATGGGCTTCACACATTGTACCCATGTGGGGAATCGAACCCGGGTCTTCGACATGACGAGCGAGCGCTTTAACCACAAGACTACTATGATTTGGTCGGAATCGTCAAGTGAAAATCTCGAGCAGACATTTCTTGTGATCATGGACATTTATTTGTAGCGTCGATTTAAATATTGTGAAAGATTTCAAGGCATAGACACGAGTGAGAGTGAGAGAGTTCTTTATTTCTGAACTGTAGGCCAGAGGCCCAAAGTACAAGTAAAAAACAGTTACAATGGGTGTGTGGTACAAGCGCGTTTGCGTTTTAACAGTGCATGGTGTATAAACGTAGCAATATTCTGAAGTAGCTGTACATTTTCTGTTGACATTAGTATGCTGAATTTGTAAAATGTGGGACAGGACGTGTACTTAGATGGTATATAATATTTTCTCTGGTCTTCATACTGTGGACAGATGAGAAGGACATGGTATTCATCTTCAGTAATATCACTGTCACACATTTTGCAGGATTGGCTCTCAGTAACATGACATATTCTTTTAAAATACATTAAATCATAGTAGCCACATCGAAAGTGCGATAACGATACTCTTAATTTCCTTATACTTACGTCTGTTAAATACTGTTCACACATAAAATGGTGTTTAAACAATGAATACGAATAAGAACATTTTCCAGTTTGAATATTTCTGGTCCACTCTTGCTGGAAGCAATCCTTACATCGTTGTAGACACGGATAGACATTCAGATCTTCTTTCGAAGCATTTCTGCCTGTTAGATACACTTCATTTAGGTCGAAAACGCCAAAGGACAGGGTTAAATAGTTTATATGTCATGCCACAATGTGAAACTAAAGTTTAGTAAGGACAGGAACTAATGGGGGTTTTCCATAACGTTTCGAGTTTTTTCTCGACAACATTCCTTAAACAATACGCGGCAGCACCATCACGGTCATGTCTTCAAGAATGGAGATTCATTTTATGTGCATCATCCGAATTCTTATAAAAGAGAGTGGTTGTAGAATCCTGTGTAGTAAGCAGCTATACTCAGATATCTCTTGTTCCTATGTTAGTCAAAAACTTGGAAATTGCAATAGCCCCCAGTCACTGTCGCTTGAATGGATGACATCATTCTCCAAGGAACTTCAGTCGTTGTTTCGATATGCTTCGACTTAAAGGGGTTCATACTATTCTAGTGGTATCCAGTCCGCACCGAGCAAGTGGATAAGGCGCGTGTCAAGTGCAAAGGCCTCAAATCACCATCTTGCATTTTTTATAAGTACAGTCAAACGTTTACAAACTGTCATACTGCGAAATTCCTCGAACATTCAAGCTTACCAGGTCAGGCAACAACAACCAGGCAACTCTAAACATCTTCTGTTAAAATATCTCCACCACGGGTTCGATATTATACCAGCGCTTCAGTTATTTTCTACCACTGACACCAGAATGGGCGCCACACATTCCACCCATGTGGGGAATGGAAGCCTGGCTTTGGGCTTGGAGAGCGAACGCTTTAACCACTAGACTTCTCCTCCACCCTTCATGATTATGGTAAGGAATTCTTGGTCTGTGATCATATGAGGTCACATGTCGTCAGTCTGAGCTTGAATCGAGGTTTCCAAACTCAGATACCCCTTCAGTATGTTTCTTGGATTCTCAGTAACTGTGCATCTTGTTTTACCACTTAAATCCTTCCCTCAGAGCTGCCATCCTTCATGAATCAATCATTCATTTGTCTTGATTCAGCAAGAAATTCGTCTTCATTTCAAAAGTATCGATAAGCTCAAATACCCCCAAAACTACAAATTGCTGTACGAGTACAGAGGGTGGAGTGAGTGAGTGAGTTTACTTTTACGCCATATTCCAGCTATATGGTGGCAGCCTGTAAATAATCGAGTTTGGACCAGACAATCCAGTGATCAACAGCATGAACATCGATCTGCGCAAATGGGAACCGATGACATGTGTCAACCAAGTCAGCGAGCCTGATCACCCGATCCCGTTAGTCGCCTCTTACGACAAGCATGGGTTACTGCAGGTTCATTCTAACCCGGACCTTCACGGGTAACAGAGGGTGTATACAATGTTAGGCACTGGTGGGGAGACATGTCTAACATACAGAAATGTCATCTATTTCTTACAATACTGTGACCATTATAACGAAGAATATGACCATGCTCCAGCAACAACATGAGACAACATATATGAAATATTTATTGCTAATACAAATTGAAGCATCAAACATTATCTGGTACTTTCGGTACATCAGAGGTGACGACTGACGAAGGGGTCGTCCTCAGCTGCAACGTTGAAACAACACCAGACGGACAATTACAAAGCACCTTTAAACCTGGATATCAGACAAAAAAGCTATCCTTAAATATGTATTACAGAATCATATGGCATCTTTAAAACACAAATTGACATCAGACCGAAAATGCATCGCAAGGTATCTATAAATCTAAATATCAGACCAAAAATTTATCACAATGCGTCTTTAAACCTGGATATCAGTCCGACAATTTATCACTATGCATGTTTAAACCCTGATATCCTGACAATATCAGACCGACAAAACCTATCACAGTGCATGTTTAAACCTAAATATCAGACTGAAAACCTATCCCAATGCATTTTTAAACATAGATATCAGACTGACAATTTATCACAATGCATCTTTAAACCTAGATATCAGACCGACAATTTATCACAATGCATCTTTAAACCTGGATATCAGTCCGACAATTTATCACAATGCATCTTTATACCTGGATATCAGTCCGACAATTATCACAGTGCATGTTTAAACCTGGATATCAGACTGAAATCCTATCCCAATGCATTTTAAACCTAGATATCAGACTGACAATTTATCACAATGCATCTTTAAACCTGATATCAGACCGATAATTTATCACAATTCATGTTTAAACCTGGATATCAGACCGAAAATGTATCACAATGCATCTTTAGACCGTAAATTAGATTTGTCTACCAATGACGTAAAATTTCAGTTGGTTTTCCCAATTGGATTGATGTATTATCGAATGAAGACATAAACAGTGGCATTATGAAATACTGCTGTGAAATAAAATAAAATTAGAAGAGTCAGTCGGGCGATGAAAATAAAGAAAATAAAAATACTGCCCTATACGCTGAAACATGAACTTTAAGAGAAAAATACGTAAGTGATGTAACGCCTTACAATTCTAACACTCCTGTCGAGCGGTCTACGTGAACATCAAATGTCATCTTATGTCAACACACATCATGATTATATAAATTCAATATTGAGAATGTTTAGGTTCCCGTCACATGTCTGCGAATAAAAAAATTCAACGTGTCCAAGTAGAGAAAATGTGTAGGATATTTATTCGATTTTGCACACAAGACTAATTAATTTAAATATATATCGAGTTGGTACTGCCAACAATTAGTGATGAAAGTGCTTTCTCAGAAGTACTTCGTGATTCCTCGGTTTGCAAAATAATTATCTTTTTAATTAGGTTTTATATTTTAGCTGAAAGATTATTTTCCAAATTTTAAACTCGACAAAGTTAAATTAAAAATTAAGATTTGGCCATTTCATCTGAATATTTTGACAACGCCCCTTAACCAACAAAGATATATAATTTATGATTAAGATCAGGATACATTAGGAACTGGCCTACCTCAGAGCAGAGTTTCAGTTCGACTTCATGTTCACGTGTCTGAAGGTCCTCAAAAGAGTTGACAAGAAATACTCCACCAGTACTGTCAGTGGCCATCGCCTGCAACATCGTCACAGGCACATGTTTGCCAACGCCGACAGTGATGATGTTCACGCCATCGGCCTTCAGCAACTCTGCTTCCTTCAGAGTGGCTGCGGGTGCAGTCGACGCACCATCAGTAACGACTATAACAAATTTGCTGGTCCCATTCCTGGCACCACTGACGTCGCTGAAGCCGACGGTTCGGGCGAGCTCCAGGGCTTGGTTGGTGTAGGTGAGGCCGCCATCGTAGACAACCTATATGGGTGAGTGAACAGTGTCTCAGGCCGCGTCACAGTAGTGAGTGAGTGAGTTGAATTTTACGCCACTTTTAGCAATATTCCAGCAATATCAGGGCGGGGGACTTCAGAAATGGGCTTCACACACTGTACCCATGTTGGGAATCGAACCCGGGCCTTCGGCGTGATGAGCGAACGCTTTAACCACTAGGCTACCCCACCGCCCCTCGATTCACAGTAACTCTACATTTTATAAAAACACTGTTAAACTGAACTGACGGATATAATGAACATCGGGTTTTGTCACTACTACTTGCTGTTATTTTGTCGACATGCGTATAACGAACTGCGGTTATAACGAACAAAAAAACTTGTAGTCCCTTTATAACTGTTTTACCAAGGAGGAATTTCAAATCATTCGCTTTGGTCCATGTTGACATGTAGTTGACTCAAGAGCAATGAACAATCGGGCACTATGACATACACTTTCAAAACCACCCAATCCTCATTTACTCTGCTCTTAAGAGAGAGTGAGTGAGTGACTTAGTGAGTGAGTGTGGTTTTACGCCACTTTTAGCAATATTCCAGTAATATCACGGGGGATCGTCTTGGAACCCTGTCTTTCCTTTTCATTTTCGTTGTGAAATTGCATTTCTGGTTCTTTCAGTTGCTTTTGAATCAGCTCACCCAACTTGTTATCAGCCAAAATTTCTTCCTCCCCTCAAATATTCTACAAGTTTATTAAATGCACTCTTTCTCATGAAGTAGAGCATCAAGACAATTTCTGATTCTGTGGGTGGATGGGTTGTGTCAATGTGTAACTGTGACATGTTATCTCATTTGGTCATCTTAGTACAAGCAGGCAGGCAGGCAGGCACGCACGCACGCACGATCTTATTTCACCTCCCTCCAGTGCATGTAAATGCTCTACCTGAAGTATAGCCAAGCGCAGATCACTTTCAGTGGGGTTGTCGTTCAGGCTGATCTGCATGCGCGCGTTTGATGCATATGTGATGATACCAAATTGGAAGTCGTTGGGGCCGATGGGGAAGTCGTCGACGAATTTGACGACGAAGTCCAGCTCCTGTTGGAAGCTGGCGGGTCCCTCGCTGTTGGAGGAGTCGAGGAGGAAGATGACGTCGGCAGAGTCGGACGCCACACACGGCCCGGCTGTAAGTATTGATGAAATAAACGGGATATCAAACCGTAGGCCACAGTACACTTAATATACCACTCCACTTTTAACAGGGGTATTTTTACCTTTCCGCGATACACGAAACCGATTCCCTATCAAAAGCTGAGTCATATATGTCTGAAATCATAAGCCACCGCTCGTATATCTGAGAGTAACGTTGTAATTGTCGATCGAGTCCCGCCTATAAATGAGTTATTTTGCGTAACAACGCTTTGAACATTTTTACCGTAACACAACGTACGCTCAGCAAATTATACTATCATTCATTCATTCATTGATGGTTGTTTAAAGCCGCACTCAGCAATTCCCAGCTTAATGGCTGTGGTCCGTAAATAATCGAGTCTATACCAGACAATCCAGTGATCGACAGCATGAGCATCGATCTACGCAATTGGGATGCGATGACATGAGTCAACAAAGTCAGTGACCCTGACCACCCGATCTCGTTAGTCGCCTGTTACAAGCATGGGCTACTGAAGATTCTAGCCCGGATCTTTACGGGAATTATTCTATCAATATTTCAGTATGCTTCAATCCAAGCAATTAGGAATAGGATACGCTGACCTTTGCAGCGACCTTGACCCCCTGTAGCCATTTTAGGCATGGATTCCTGAAGCCCAGTTCTTCATGGGATGACAGTGAGTGGGTGAGCGAATTTCGTTTTACGCCGCTTTCAGCGACATTCCAGCAATATCACAGCGGTGGACACCAGAAATGGGCTTCACACCTTGTACCAATGTGGGAAATGAACCAGGGTTTTCGGCGTAGCAAGCGAACGCTTTAACACTAGGCTCACCCCACCGCCCTTCACGGGATCACAGAGTTACAACTAATATATTAATGAAAAAACATTCGAGCACCGATATGGCGTTGAATTTATTTAGCCCAACTCAAACTTCCACCATCTCAATACCTTGGCATGGAGCTACATGTTTTAAAACGCCTTGAAAAATTTATTCTTGAAATTCATTTGACTGTGTGAGTGAAATACTAGAACTGGATGTTAGGGGTGAATCTGTACACCGGTGTTTCGGGTGTTTTCTGACGACGATTCAATACAAGTTATGGTCTTTCGTCACGATACACTATGTCTTGCGAAAGTGCTTACTGCTCGTTTTATGGCACCCCAGGATGCGTATAAACACAGAAAGGGGGGTGCTGATAGGAAGCTACTTACGTTTTACAGTAGCTGAAACAGTAACAAGATGGCATGAGAACATACGGACATGCTTTTGAGGGCGTACATGAAATGAAGACTAAATGAATGTGACTAATGATGTGTACTTTCCATCTTACCTTATCCACTGCTCACCGCTTGTTGGGTTTTTATTATCAAATCTAAAATAAACATGTTTTCAACATAATATTATTTGTATGTGCTCTAAGTTATGAAAATACTGCTACAAAATTGTTTCATTTACTTATTTTTTATATTTTTATTTTATTTATTTTTTAAATGTATTATTATTATTATTTTATTTTTTTTTTTTAGGGGGTCTTCACGGGTTTGTAAAGTGCTTACATCTTACAAGAAGTTATATATCAATCAGAGAGTACAGATATGTAGAAGGAAACTAGACGGGCGCACCTGTATACAGAGACTTGATCAGTGATGATGTTTTTGTGGTTGACAGGTCCTTCTTTTCTTTCCAGAGTTATATATATTCTTTTCAAGCACTCTCTGTGACATTTGTTTTAAAAATCTCTTTTCTCCACGTCCAAATACTCAACACTAACCCAAAACACACAAAGACACACACATACATAGAGGTGCATATACACACAAAGACGCACACACTAACAAACACAGATACGTACATACACACAGACTAACACACAGATACACACATACATGGGCACATACACACAGATACACACATACATGGGCACACATACACACAGACGCACACACAAACACACACAGATATACACAAAGATACACGCATACATGGGCACAAATATACACAGAGACGCACACAGATACACACATATATGGGCACATATACACAGAGAGACATACACACATACACAAAGACACACATTGGCACACAGATACATGGGCACATATACACACAGTGACGCACACACTAACACACATTAACAGATACATACATACACACAGAGACTAACACACACAGAGATACACATATACATGGGCACACATACACACACAGATACGCACACATACATGGGCACATATACACACAGAGACGCACACACTAAAACACAGATACACATAAATACACACACACACACACACACACACACACACACACACACACACACACACACACACACACACACACACACACACACACCACAAGAATATCAAATGTTCGGTCGCTATCTACCGAAATCCCTGAACCACATTTACTTCAACCGAGGACAGAGAGTGAGTGAGTTTAGTTTTACGCCGCACTCAGCAATATTCCAGCTATACGGCGGAGGTCTGTAAATAATCGAGTATGGACCAGACAATCCAGTGATCAACAGCATGAGCATCGACCTGCGCAACTTGGATCCGATGACATGTGTCAACCAAGCCAGCGAGCCTGACCACCCGATCCCGTTAGTCGCCTCTTACGACAAACATGGGTTACTGAAGGCTCATTCTAACCCGGACCTTCACGGGTCCAGGACAGAGAACAAAAGAAGCGACCATTGTCGATACAATGATATATATGTCAGTTGTATGAATTTTGACTGTATGTTTATTTATGTTAGACTGAATCTTTAAGAATATAGGAAATCTCACCTGGTGGTTTATTCACCTGCACTGCAATGGAAATTTTGCTACACTTAGACCAAGGTCCTCGTGTGAAACATAAGTATTACATCCATGTTTTGTCACCATGTCGTGTCCACAATACTATACTAGTCGCAATGGGACACGCTATTCCTCTATACTACCAGCGATTGAATGTTAATTATGCAGTCAACGGTTCTACCAATTGGAAAATCCGATGTAGGACAGGCAAGCAAATCATAGACTATTGTGAAGAATGTAACATGTTGCACTTGGGATGACGTTTCTCAGAAAAGTAGTAACTTCCATTTTGAATTTGACTCCATACTCTTAGAGTGCAGAAACAAATCGAAAGCACACGAAATCAGCAACTAACCCACTCAGCCTCTCTGAAAGGATGGGTTCGAATCCCGAGTGGAACTACTTTCCTGAGAAAAGCCATCTGAAGTATAACACGTTACATTCGTCTATGATTTGTTTGCCTGTCCAACATCGGATTTTCCAAAACCGTTGACTGCATAATTATTATTCAATAAAACCACATTTGTACCGAATCCGTTAATTAGGAAACCCGTTTACTGTTAGGAATGTCTGCATGTATTGTATTGTACTGAACAGCTTAAAATAAACGATCAAACGGTAAAGGGATACGGTACCCATGACCTACTACAAGCAAGTTAAATTGTATTGTACACACTTTTTCATTGCATCGAAACTGAATTAAACTAATTGATCGACATGTCTAATAATTAAACCTTTGTTATCTTAGTGCCATGCGTACGTAAGCATGCACATACTGATGATATACTCTTCAAAAAAGGTGGGGAACCTAAACTTTCAGTTTGGATAGGAAGTATAAGCGTTAACAAACTTTTAAAAAACAAAGACATCTTATGAACGCACCACCATTTCTCTTTAAAACCACCTCTAAACACAACGCATGGGATGCACGGGCACGATGTAGTAGCGCCAGACACGTGAATGGGGTGTCATTCTGGATTTTGACGGTTTTCAAGAAGGTCGATAAATCACTGTAGACCATTAATTTTGACAAACATCTTGTATCGCACAGTTGTTAGTGTTTGTTTGTAGTCGGGTTTGTTTTGTTTTGAAAATGAAAATCGTAAACATGCATATTTCACGTCACACGCCACTCATCTTTCAAGAGCGATTACTGTACAAACAACTATGGTCATAAGGAAGTGCAAGTGGTGATGTACTCTCATAAATTCTTTATTTTCATATCAGCTTTGATTGACTCCGATATATCACCAATTTTAAGTTTGAAATGAAGTTCCCATTTTTTTGGAAGAGTATATCTGGTCATTGATAGGGGGCTGCTTACTCTGAAAGTTTCAGGACTTCTATTGTAAGTCATCTAAGACATATCACAAAGTGTACCTCTACACGTTGCCTGCAGTAACTCCGCCTGTATGGTGTAGAGGGCGTCGAAGGTGGCCACGCTGAAGACGTAGGAGACGTTGGTGGCGATGTTGGTCAGCTCTTGGACGTTGACGGAGCTGCCAATGCCGATAGAAATTACCTCGATGCCAGCAGCGTGCAGAGCTTGAGCTTCCGCCTTGGTCTAAGTAGAAAACCAGTCTCAGTAAACTTAGGCTCAGTATTATTCGTTACACTGCTTATACTGAGTCTAACAAAACCTAGTAGAAGGTCGCGTCAGCTAACCTTTGAGCGACATATGGCCGTCCAATCAAATGCGAGACGGCCGAACGGATTTAACCAATCAGATAACGGCTAACTTCCCCGATCACTGACACTGATCTTTCAACAAACGAACATCCACATAAAATGCAGATATTTGACCTGTAGTATATACGCTTAGGGCTTTCTGATGACATGGCTACCATTAGTTAATTTTTCGGCAAGCTGATATCCTTGAATATTGACAAAAACGCTATTTTCAGCGACTGTTTACTCACTGTTGTGGCGTGCTCCACGTGCATCACTCGGAAGCGAACATAGCATTCGGAATCGTTGGGGTACAAACTTTTTCGAGATAAAAGTTCAAAAGGTATGTCAGCTTTGTCCTGATTGGTCAATTGAAAAGGTTAGCTGACGCGACCTTCTACTAGGTTTTGTTAGACTCTGTATAAGCAGTGTAACGAATAATACTGAGCCTAAGTTTACTTAGACTCAGTAGAAAACAAAAAATGGTATTGTTTTGACAATACCACTATTAATGCAAATATGGTATGTGTGATCTGGTGTCTGGTGACAATACTTGTTTTAATGCATTTATGGTAATGAGTGATTTAGTGTTTAGTGCATGTGTGTAATCAGATCAAATGATACAACTGATTTCATCAACTTCAACCGAGACTAGCGTTGACTAGTGTGGCGTTCATCATAGCATTGGTCAGATATATACATAATATCCTATCAATAAACAATGAAAAATCGACATAAGGCTGATTAATGAATGATATATATATATGTATTCGATCAGCCAGAGCATATCGTTTATGAATAATCTGAACCTCTAGCCTCGTTTTGAAACGACGGAGACGACGCTAAAATTAGGCATCCAATCACCCAAAGGAGAAAGAATTAGGGGTTGGAGACCGAGGCTATTGTCAGTTCAAGAACGTGAATAGTATAGGACACTAAACGCAGAATAATAGAAGGTTGACATTACCTTCTCGACTGAGTTTGACTGTCCGTCTGTGAGAACAATGGCGATCTTAGTTGCCTCTGACCTTGACCCTTGGCCCGATGTGAAGCTGGTAGTCCTCACGTATTCTAGAGCCTTCTCGGTGTACGTGCCGCCGTAGTGGTAGCGAACGTCGTTGATGCCGGCGATCACCTCAGCTCTGGTCTTGTAGCGTCCAAGGTCAAACTGGGGATTAACGTCGTTAGCAAAAGCGACCACACCGAACTGTACTGCGCTCGTACCTACGTCAAACTTGCGGACAAAGTTGGTGATGAAGTTGAGCATGGTGTTGAAGTTGAAGGGCCCGATACTGGCAGACGAGTCGAGGACGAACATGATGTCGGCGGGAGTGGACGCGCAAACTGAAATGTTGATACACAAGTAGAACGTATGGTGGCTCCATAATGACGGGAGAGACGTGATTACTATCTTTCAGGCTTAATAATCAGCTAGATCACACTTTTTTTATTACTTGGTTTACGGATAATGTTTGCTAAAGTCCAAAAAAATCAATCTTTCCATTTTTTAAATACCGCCGATGTATAAAATCGAAATCAATAATTTAATAATCTATTTGATTGAAATCAACTTTCTGTTACGAATTATAATATTTTAAATATTGAAACAAATAAAATCGCCAAATTAAAGTTACCGAGTGAAAATGCTGACACAAATCAATACGTAAAGGGAGGCTACACTTTGACATCACCTACCGACAGGAATATTGCTGTAAAAAATCCGTAAACCAAGTAATAGAAAAGTGTGGCCTTACATATGTCTTTGTCTTTAAAGGTTTTAAATGGTTTATGGTAAATGTATGGTAAACGTATGGAAAACATATAGAGAACGAATACGGGGAAAGTTATGCCCGATGCAATAACATATTTCGACTTGTACCAAACGTCCCCCGTTTGTGATCTTTTACCTTTTAACACCTCATACCATCACTTTTGATAATGATAACACAAACGTTATATGTTATCGTCAGAATGTACTATAGAATATGATCTTAGTAGATTGCATTTATAATTATGGAAAAATGCTTTTGAAGTTATTCATTTACGAAGAGAGTTAAATTGTGATAGTTATTATCTTACGATTTATTTTGTAAGTTCATCCCCGACATTATCTATTTCTCGCCTCAGTTTAAGAGTTAATGCTACAAAAGAAACTCCAAGCTACAACTTACCTAGATCACTACCTGAAATGTGACCAAACTCATAGTGGTAAACACTGACCAAACTACATTTAAACATGCACGCAGTAGATAAAATTGTTTGTCGTCTTATAAGATCACAAAATATGTACATATCCGTTAGTAGTTATCACTTGAGCGTATCTAGACCGAATTCCTCATGCAAAGAATAAACGAAACAGAATAAATTAAATTAACATGTAACAACACAAGAGGTTTTCAAGAGTCATTCACTATAGTTGTCTTCTACTTACAAACTATATCCTGGATTTGTTGTTCAATGGCGTTCAGGTTGTCGAAGTTAGACACCTGCACAGACGAATTACTTTAGTGTTGTGAAATTTACAGCACAAACGTGTACATAGAAGCATTTATCAATAGGGATCAAAGTCAGTATTGTATGCAGTACCATTTGCCTGTAAATCCATGTCATTAAGGGAGTAAGTATGGTTTTACGCCGCTTTTAGCAATGAAATATCACGGCGGGGGACACAAGAAATGGGCTTCACACAATATTCTACCCATGTGGGGAATCGAACCCGGATCTTCGAGGTGACAAGCCAACACTTTATAACCATTAGGCTACCCCACCGCTCCATGCTGTTAAGGTAACACTGGGAAGGAAACTATTTACAATAAGAACACTACACCAAGTATCGCACTAAATACCTCTTCTCATTTATGAACTGACAGATCTTGCTCCAACAAATCCGTTTTTGTCTGTCACAGCGGAAAAAGACATGTTATTCAAACTTCCTCTCGAGATAATAATAATAGGCTGGTATTTCTTACAGATAAAAGCCTTCTCACGTCACATCGATGATCCGGGTCGGATTCCACGCATGGGTAACATGTGGGATCCAATTCTTGTCCTTTGCCTTCTACTGTTCCAGTATTATTAAAAGCGGCGTAAAACTCCTGTTCACTGACAATAATGTTAGGACGTATTGTTGCTTCCCGTGAACAAAGGGTAAGACAGAATTTGTGTACCAAATGACGAATGACCCACCTTGACCATGTGTTTGTCGTCGGAGGCAATGACTGCGAGTTCCGACTGGTCGATGGCTGCACCAATGCCAATAGAGATGACCATGACCCCTTCCTTGCGGAGCAGGATGCCCTGATTGGCTGTCAGTAATTTCTGTTGAGATTGACCGTCGGTCATCACGATCACGACCTTCTTGGACCCTGGCCGTGCCCCATGTTTCGGGCTGGAAAGAACCAACCATTGGTTAAGGACTTACTTTTCTTTGCAAAGTATGTGAGTGGCGGGCACTAGAAAAGCTAAGGTTACTCTTTTCGCGAACACTGGATGTCTTCACTGATTTTCAGCGATCCATTGTTATGATTTTGAACCTGTTTTTGCCTGTTCGCCCAGTGGATCTGTCTTTGTACACTCCTCCCCCCTCAAAGTTTAGACTCACTAGTGTAAATGTAGCCAATTGCATAAGTCAACTCTTCTAAACTAGATTTTGCAAAATTTTCCATACTGTTTAAAGGTACTGTTTACACATGAACTGATGTATTGTAAAACAAATTCGTACCTTTGAAAAGATTATTGTCATGTGTTAAAAAAAGGGATGAAACTGAGTGAAAATTGGCGAATGTTTAACAAAATTTTACACCAGAACACAGCTGTTCACATACACGATATTTGCACATGCTTTTTAGCAATTTAATGCATGATCCTCGTGCAATTCATCTGCATAAACTTTGCAGTTGGTTGCCCAAAGTTAGTGGAGAAATTCATCTTCGATGTAACCAGACATATATGCATACCATATAGTATAACATATAGTGAGTGCTTTAAGTGAGTCTAAACTTTTGATGGTTAGTATAGATCTTTGGATGAAATACACAATGCCATTTATAAAGTGGTCAAATGTAACATATGTTATATTTAGGATTATACTTTCTCAGTAAAGTACAGATTCTAGTACTTTATGGGTTGAGTCCCATCCAGGATTCGAACCCACACCCTCAGAGTCAGGCACCTAATCGCCAGCACACAAACTCTGACGCCTAGACCGCTCAGCCACCGCGGCTTCCACAAAAATGGAAGTCGGACAACTGGTAGTCTAGACTGCGGACTTTGTGTACCACTCTGATAAGTGTCAATTGGCACGGCTCCCACGGCCGAAAGCTTTGAAATACACAATGCCATTTAGAAAGTGGTCAATGAGGTGCGTTTAGGCCCATATGTGACGTTCATCACACATTATCCCGACCAGTTGACGTTTCTGGCGTTTTACAAACCGCAACTGGCCAAAAGGATGCCAAGCTTCTTGGCAACGATAAGGTGTAATTCTTTCAGTTGGAACATGCGCTGCATAATATCTGGGAAAGTCGGAGGGCTACACTATTTTGTTTGTGTATTTATTTGTTGTTTAACGCTGTTCCATATGACAGCTACCTGACGCTAACCTGTTAATTGCCTGCACCAGACAGCCAAGTGGCAGTATCAGCATTGATCTACACATTTGGGATAGAATGACATGCATTAAGTCAGCGAGCCTGGCCACCCGAACGTTTGGTCGCCTTCCGACAAGTATGGGTTGCTGAACACTAGTTCTAACCCGGATCTTTACAAGAATATCTCAATCGGATTTTCAGAATGCATCATTGCTTTTTGCCTTAGCGCCGCTATCAATAGTACCACTACCTCACGGTGCAACGGTGACATTCCTGTCAGACAACGCTGACGTACCTGAGATAGACTTGTCTGACAATATTGACATTCCTGAGGCAGACTTGTCTAACACTGACGTACCTGAGAGAGACTTGTCTGACAATATTGACATTCCTGAGAGAGAGACTTGTCTAACACTGACGTACTTGAGAGAGACTTGTCTGACAACATTGACATACCTGAGAGAGACTTGTCCGACATACCTGAGAGAGACTTGTCCTACATACCTGAGATAGACTTGTCCGACATACCTGAGAGAGACTTGTCTGACATACCTGAGAGAGACTTGTCTGACATACCTGAGAGAGCTCTGCCTGACGAACTCCAACCCGTTCCCGGTGTGAGTATTTCCGGAATTGTAAGGGGTCCTGGAGATGGCACTCTTCAGAGAAGCCTTGCTCATGTAATCGTTCAGAAAGAAACGGTTGGTAGCCACGGTGGAGAAGGTTACAAGTGCCACCTGAACGGCATTAGGACTGATGTCAAAACCGTCGATGAAGTTGCTGACAAAGCTTAGTTGTTTCTTGAAGTTAACAGACCCTTCACTGGAAGAGGAGTCGAGGAGGAAGACTATTTCTGTTGGCTCTGTGGAGCATGCTGAAGAAACAGGGACATATTATGGAGTGTAAACCATCGCAAACGTGTATATACGAAACAGTGCAAGAGACCAATACTTTCATACCGTTCAACAGTAATTGATGCATATACACTGAAAGACAAATACACACAACAACGCACAACACACGCCACAGATCGAACACAAGGAGAAAGTATTGTGAAGCATAACCGAAACCTGATATGTTCCCAACAAAACTCCAACCCACCCAGAGATTATGAAATTGTCAGTCACAAAACAAAATACTGCTCTGTATTGCAAATTGTTTTCACTTACTCCATCAAGATGAGAGGGTGTTAAGGTATTACAAGAAACAACTAATGGTCATATAGTTTACAGCTTGGTGTCCCGGTTAGTTTTGAGCATGTAACTATCGATGACACTTTTCGACGAAAATTTTAGGATATACTTACTCATTACTTGCGTCTTGCCTGTGGAAACACGTACAAATGCAGAGTGTGAGTTGTAACTCAATGCATAACTAGTTTACTTACTTTTACAAAATGGATATTATATTCTATTGGGACTGCTCTATTAGGATGGACTCAACCCAACAATAGTACTAGAATCTGTACTTTACTAAGAAAGTGTAATCTCAAATATGACATATGTTACATTTGACCACTTTCTAAATGGCATTGTGTATTTCATAGCTTTCGGCCATGGGAGCCGTGCCATTTAACACTTATCAGAGGGGTACACAAAGTCCGCAGTCTAAACTACCAGTTGTCCGACTTCCATTTTTGTGGAAGCCGCGGTGGCTGAGCGGTCTAGGCGTCTGACTTTGTGTGCTGGCGATTAGGTGCCTGACTCTGAGGGTGTGGGTTTGAATCTCGGATGAGATTCAACCCAACAAAGTACTAGAATCTGTACTTTACTAAGAAAGTGTATTCCCAAATATAACATATGTTACATTTGACCACTTTCTAAATCGCACTGTGCATTTTACGAATTTTCATTAGGAGTTTTAAGAATAAACGTACAATAACGAAAAATATGCGAAATTACGAAAGTATAATAGAAGTAACGAGAGCAAACGAATCGAATGTTCCGCAAATAGTTGAAATAAAGGGTTGTACAATCAGATTTTTCGTAATCTTGGGCACTAAACCATAAAGCGCTCCCTTAACAGTGTTGTAAACTTACACGTTGTATCCCGAATATCCTTTTCCATCTTCAACAGTGCGTCGACGTCGACAGCTTTGAAGACGAAGGCGTCACCGCTTGCAATGTTGTTCAGCTCATCGTTGTCGATAATAGGACCGATGCCTACAGCGATGACCTTGATACCCTTATCATGCAGAGTGACAGCCTGGGCGGCCGTCTTGCTGGGATTGGCCGAAACCCTGTCCGTAACGACGACGACCATCTGGTTAGCATTGGGACGTGCGCCGTTTCCACTCTGGAAGCTGTTCTGACTAACGTAGAGAAGGCCATCGTCTGTGGGTGTGTTGCCCGGTTGGTAGGGGAGTTGAGTTATGGCCTGGGGAAATTAGAATTAAATCAATCAGTCAGAGCCACTCAGAGAGAGAGACCGAGCTTTATTCAGTAAAGGGGCCACAGGCCCATTATACATCAGGTGTACAAAAATATCAACTCATTAGAGCACCGTACAACATCATGATAACTGCACAATTATACATTTGTGGGTACTGGGTAGACTGAGAGAAAATTATTTCGTTTTTCATGGCAACCAATAGGTATTTTGCAAGACAATTTATAATATAAGTATTCTTTGAAGTAAACAATTGAGCTAATTTCACTTCAGGTGGATATATGTGATAATATTTAGGGAGAATATCGTTTCTTAATATCCCATAAAAAGGGCATTCCAGGCAAAAGTGATATTCATTTTCTATATTTGGTATGATACAAAGCGGGCAAAGGCGATCCTCCCTTTTAAGACCAAAATGTCTACCGTACTCTATCATCAAATTTTGGTTTGAGCAACGAAATCTACTTAAGAAAATGCGAAACTGTTTGTCAGTAACACTAATAATATAAAACTCAAAAGCTACACCTTCTTTGAGTCTACGATAGAAATCCAATTTCGAAATAAGTGTAATACAAGATGACCATAACTGGTTACCTATGTCAATGGATCTTTGCTTAAATGATGATATGAAAGTAGAGATATTTCAAACACTTTGACTGGACCACACATTGCCAACACGATAACTGTACAAAAGAGATATCACCTTAAAAGCCCAACAATCTATACCATTTTCCGCAAGACAATACTGATACTCATATACCTTATTTAAGATTAAGGGCCTCTTAGATTAACATCTAGTCTGTGAAATGAACATATTTTCAGAATAAAACGGTTCCTAAACAAATTCATACAATATGATGAATAGGCTGGACCGAAGACCTCCCAAATAGGAGCCCGAAGACTTCCCTTACTTCAGACGAAGTCTGAAACTGTGGCAATCTAGACTTGCCACATATGCTAGACTATATTGGGTTTATTTGTTTCAGGGCCTGTAAGACGGTCTCGGCGTCAGGGGTAATATAGTTCTGTTGTTTTTAACGATGCTCCTTCTCCCATCAACTGTACTGTAACTGTTTGGTATAGCTTCCTCTTTCATGGGGCTTGATTCAAAGGCAGAATGTGTTCCCGGTCTCCCGTAATATGTCATGTGAAGGGAGATTTCTGCATCTCACGGGTTGATGGGTACCTGGATACCTGGGTGGGTGATCAGCTCTCAGAGGACATCGTTATTTGAATTGAGCATCGTTATGCCTAAAGTGAGTGAGTGAGTTCAGTTTTACTCAGCAATATTCCAGCTATATGGCGGCGGTCTGTAAATAATCGAGTCTGAACCAGACAATCCAGTGATCAACAGCATGAGCATCGATATGCGCATTTGGGATACGATGACACGTGTCAACCAAGTCCGCGAGCCTGACCACCCGATCCCGTTAGTCGCATCTTACGACAAACATGGGTTACTGAAGATCAATTCTAAGCCGGATCTTCACGGGTAGTTATGCCTGGAAGATGGCTTCAGCAATCAAAAGCCGGTTGATTGTTCTGTGTTTAACGTCACATAACCTATCGTGGACCTGTAAATAATCGAGCCTGGGCCAGACAATCCAGTAACTGACATCATCAGCATCGACTACGTATTTGAGAGATGATAGTACAAGTTTGTTGCAGAAAGACTACGACCAGAAGTAAAAAAAATCTGCTTAGCTGGTTATATGTTTTGCTAGCATTACAAGTGTACACGACAAATAGTGTCACAATATGTTATGATATATTCTAAGATACAATATTTACCTGGCATGATATCACTGCAGTGCATATTAACCATAACAGTGAAAGGAACCAACAAACGTCATTTTGACGGTGAGGTAAAACAAAAATCCCGACGTCATCATGAACTACTTCGATGTCTTTCCAAAATGAGAGCCATGAAATGAGTTTACCAAAAGCCCCCAAAGTACTAACATTCAGCAGATCCTGTTTCTTGCTGAACTGGTTGAGTGGAAAATCCGTCTGCCACGACGTTAAGAAGCTGACGACGCTGATCTGGACGTTGTCGGCGCCGATGATGAGTTTGCTCGCGAAGTTGTTGACAAACTGCAGCTGTTTCTTGAAATTGTCTTCGCCCCCACTGTTGAACGTGTCCAGTAGAAAAACAATATCTGACGGCCGGATACCGCACGCTTGAAAAAGAAGGGAGGTAATTACATGTAGACATGTGTGTGCGTGCGTGCGTGTTTGTCACTGAGCAATATTCCAGCTATATGACCAGACCAGACGAAATCTGGACCAAACAAGGGATGCCAGGGAGCAGATGGATAGAGACAAATGGGCTGGTAGTGTGTCGATGATAAACTGATCTACACAAATTTCCGTAGTTCTAAATATTGGGTCGACATGAAAAACTAGGATCGCAATCGTGTCGAATGCTGGATGTTCCGAACACGGCACTACAAAGAAACTCTGTCTCAGATCGACGCCACAACTTCAACTAAACATGTAAAACCTATGATCAGAATGTATTTTCACGATAACGTTAACTGTCATAAAATTCGCATTTCCTGACTCAAAAATATAAACTGTCAAGGCATTTATCAAATCAGCGGTATCCCGGCTTTGTGGTTAAAGCAATTTGCTACTTACGCTAAAGATCCGCGTTCGATTCTTGGGTTCTGTGTGTGAAATCTGGTGTCAACCCGCTAAACATTGTTTAGATATTATTTACTAAGTCATACGTCAAATCATTTTGCCAGTGTGAAATAGTGCTGCGCAATATAACCGGTTTACCGGTATTTACCGGTTCAGACATGAAAACGATACGTATTGCGATACGCTGATCGAAAACCGGTATTTTCACATGCATTCGGAAAACTTCGTAACACTCGGAAATCTTCGGATATTTCCGTTTTTTAAGTTGCTCCTTTCCTTTTTTATTTGTGCCAAATACTAGTATTATTTACATTTGTTTTTTGTCATGATTAAAAGTTTTTATGAAATCTTAATCAAGCATAGTGATTTTGTTGTGTTTTTGTTTTATAGTACAAGCATTAACTCGATTATACGTAGTTTTTTGTTGAAAAAAACCTTCTTGCAATATATTGCAATACATATCGCAATATATCGCAATATGAACATTCTCTGCAATACCCACCCCTAGTGTGAAGGCAGCTAATGGAAACAGTGTACTCACAACCATGGACGTCATACTGTACCTTCCTGAACTGAAAAAAAAAAAAAAAACAGAACTGGGTTATTTATTGTAATTATATTCAAACACATAGCACCAGCTTACCATACAGAACATAAAAATCAGGTCATATAAATTTCTACATTTTGTACGTTTCACCATCGGTCTTAATTTTGGTGAATGTTCATCCCTCGGGTTTTACAGTCAAAAGCACAACGGGGTAGGGGTGTTTAATGTAACTTAGATACAGACATATAACTGTAGCAGGTAAACATCAATCAATCAATCAAGTTTATTTCGTAACAAGGCCTTAGGCCCACGTACAATACAAACTAAACAAGTGCAATTATATACTGAACAGCAAAAGAAAAGTTTCGAAGAAATGAAATCTCATGATGGTAACCGTTCATGTTTATGGAACGTTCATGGTAAAGTGACGTAATGATCCAAGATGAGAATGATGATGTCATGCAATTTGACGTCCATACGAACCATTGGCACAAACACACCAACAGTGCAGCAAAACCATAATTTTAGCACGTGCATCCACGGTTCTGGATGAAAAGCATGCATTTCACTCTGAGGTATCCTTTATAAAAGTTTGTGTGAAAAAACAGTTCAGTATTGACACTAGGAGATGTACACGCCACTCAAACGATGCCTAGAGTAACGACTGAGCAGAGAGGAATGACCATTGGAAAGTTGCACGGAGGTAGCTCTGCAACCGCTGTAGCTAGACAATTGGGCTGTCATCTTACCACCATTACACGACTTGCTCAACGTCATCAGCAAACCGGGGTTGCTGCTGATCGTCCCCGTACCGGACGGCAACGAGTGACATCTCATGCGCAAGATCGGTTCATCCGGGTCACTCATCGAAGGAACCGAACTCAAGCACCAACAGTAACAGCAGCCTTAGTTCATGGGTCAAGGGGAGCAGTGTCCAGCGATACGATTAGGCGTCGTCTTCGGGCTGCTGGAATCCACTGCCGAAGGCCATATGTGGGGCCAATTTTGACACGCCAACAACGCCAGCGACGTTTGCAGCCCTCCCACAGCAGGGGTGTCGATGGATTATCTGCCTCAAAACAACATTAAATTAACGTTTTTCCATGGCCGTCTCTTTCCCCGTATATGGCTCCCATTGAACATTCTGGGACGAAATTGGATGGAGGATTGGTGCAGGTAGACAGCCACTCACACTTGCACAATTGGAATAGAGATTGGTGTTTGAGCGGACCATTTGCGTCAAGCATTCTTTCAGACTGTAATGAACTCAATGAAGCCACGTTGCACAGCCTGTGTGCAAGCTCAAGGTGGCCATACACGCGACTAAAGAGACTGTCACTTTTCGCGTTCAGGGGTATCTCCATTTGACGGACTGTGATCAATTTGAACTTATTGCAATTCAATGTCAACATCAACTTTCAGCTGTTAAATTGACAGTGTTGTCTATTGAATAAATGATGGGACATTATTTTGGTTGTCTTCTATTCACAAACTTGACAAAAAGCCAGACTTGCGTTTCTTTTGCTGTTCAGTATATTACAAAGTCTTTGGTGCTCCATCAAATATTTTAATATATTGGAAGTGCACCGATTCGTAACATTGTTGTTCTACGCCTCGCATCTTTATTTCAATAAAGTTAAATATGGTTTAATGCAAAATACACTTTTGATACTGGAATAAACATCAAGCGATGAACATTTGTGCATTTCTGAAAATATGAATTGGTTTTGACAACCACCAACTCTCACATGAAAATCTTTCAAAAACTGTTCCTCGTTGCCAACTCCTTGAGCTTCCCACACAAAACCAAAACCATAATTGAACAAAGTATTTCGGACAAAATATACCCACGTTTTCCTAGCACTGCTTTGTATTTCTATCCTTTGGTAAGCGTAAACGTTGGAACCAATACTTCATAACACGTAATACACTATGAACATAATTACATAAATATAATTTCTACCACATTCCGAAAAACAGCCGCGTTAGAGCATTTATAACTTACACCCAACACATACTTACAAAACTTAATGCAAAACTGTTCATTAACATGCCATTTCTGAATCCCCATACTTCCAAAGCGTACAAAATTATCGGCTTTATCTGAACGTCAAAGATTTTGAACGAAATAGTTGGATAAATATTTTTAAGTCTCCTACCAAAAACCTTAACTGAGGACAAGGCGTTATTCGCTTTATTTACCAGATTTTGAACCGATTTAGACCATGAAAGTCCATATGAAACCAATAAACCCAAATAATTATTATATGTGAAAACGTTTAACTTATGATCACCAAAGTATCATGATTCATACCGCCTTAATTTACCACCATTTCTAAAGACTAGCACCTCTGTTTTCTCAATATTTACAGACAGACCCCCATTTCTTTTACAAAAACTCTAGTAATACATTGATCTTCCTCAGAAGACTAATGAATGAATGAATGAACGGAAAACAAGCATTATATTCTATTACTTGTTCCAAATCACAATTTATCAACATGTCCAGTCAGTACTTCCAAATCATGGCTTCATTTTTTTTGTCTGATCGAATTGGAAGCAAAATCGTGATCAACATCGAAATGCCATGCAGGGATTATTTGAATTTTTTTTTAAATATTTTGAAAACTGTTTTGGTTGTGACTTACAAGTCACAAGTCACATATGTACTTTCTACGCATGTAAGGAACTATTTAAGCACAGCTATAGGTAGCCTTGCTCCAAGGATGTACTGAATGCTAAGCCCAAGGAAGTATAGAAATTCTATCCTTCGAAGAGACAAGTCTTGATAAGCGGACAGTAAGGACCCCGGTCTGTTATTCATATATTTTTATTTTTAGAAATGATCACATAAACTATCAATTTTGACCTTAGAGACTTGTGCAAGTCTAAGGTGTAGGTTATCATTGACAGTTTGTTTGTTAAAAACCATTGGACCTAACGTAGAATTCACTCCTACTTGATTCACTTGACACACCTTCACATGTTTGCCTTTGGATCGGAAGTTCGATGGTGCGCAGAGCATCAAAGTTGGCAACGGAGAAGGCGTTCTGGTCGCCGGAACCGGAAGCGATGTCCCTTAGTTCCTGTTGGTCGATGCTGACACCAATGCCGATGGCGATGACTTGAATACCGATGCTGTGGATGGCCTCTGCTTCATTCTTGGTCTGACTCTTTTCTATGGACTGGCCGTCCGATAAGATGATAATGATATGGCTGGAGTCGTTCCTGGCACCGTGTTCCGCGGTGAAGCCCTCAGTGCTTGCAAATCTAAACGCAGTGTATCAAAGGGTCTTTTGACAGTTTACCGACGATAAGGCATAACTTGGAAATGATAAAACTTGATTGCTATCTAGAATATTAAGGTCATCATGAGAACAAGAATAACCATCGGAGGAAACAAAATTTAACGATTTATAACGAATTCCAAGAAGACTTTGGAAGAGCAACCAACACCTCCCTCCCTATATCTGTAATACAAAGATTATAAGAAGAGTGTTAACAGCAAACGATCGCAGAGAAAAATGTACATTTGATTATTCAAAATCACTTTCGCACCTGTTCCATTTGAGGATGGTTTGCACGACTTTATTATGTTAATCCCACTTTAAATCAGATCAACCGAGACAAAGTTAAATCAAATACTCGGTAACTCGGAAACTCGGCACGAAGTTGATGTCACATAATATGAAAATGGATGGGCGCTGGACTCCATTATATCACAGTCCAGTCGTTGTAATTATATTCTGCGTGAAACTGTGGCATTGACTCAGTTCGATTGGGATAATTGTGAATTGGAAGATTTCCACATAAATTAACCGTTAGCCAGCAGAGATACAGTGTGGTTTTCAGAAGAACTGAATCCAGCTTATTGAGATTACCAGATGACCCGCAACAAACCACCCTGCTTGATGGTCATGCATCAAAAGACTAAATTCTTGGAACTCCGAGACTGTTTGTTTGTTTGTTTGTGTGTTTGTTTGTTTGTTTGTCTATCTATCTGGATCTTCACTGAGGCATTTTGAATAAATAATATAAATTCTCTGGCTCGTCACATGCCATTGGTCCATTACAGCTTCAGGTTATTTCTTCTGAAAATAATTAAGGAATGGTCCTGTACATTATAGTTTAATACATTCAAAACCAAATAAAAGTTATAGCTTGTATAACATTGTTCACCTACTTGTGCCTATACTGAGTTTTCTTGTCACCTACCTCAAAGCATCCTCCGTGTGAGTGTTTCCTGATCGGTACATGATGCGGCCAATGGCAGCCAAGAGGCTGGTGCTGTTGTGGTAGTCGTTGTACCAGAACTCCGGTTGGGTGGTGTCCGAGAAAGTGGCTGCAGCAATCTGGACATTATCAGGGCCGATTTCGAAGTCCTTGGTGAAGTTTTTAACGAACTCCAGCTGAATGTTAAAGCTTGGAGTGCCTTCGCTGCTCGACGTGTCCAGAAGGAACAGGATGTCGGCCGGGTTCGACCTGCACACTGAAGTCAGTTTGGTTATGTGTGAGTTCAGATGCAGAATATCGAAGTAATACAAGCACTGGCAAGTACTAGCAGTAAAAGAGTAGTAGTTATTGGACAAGCAGTAGAAGTAGAAGAAAACGTAGTATCAGAGGTCATAGAAGTAGGAGTAGGAGGAGAAAAGGTGTAGATGAACTCATCTTCTGTTACTTGAAGTACAAAATCTCGTGTCAAAGTTGAAGGATCCACATAAATACTTCGAATTATCCGAGTTTCGAAACAACCGCAAAATAAGCAAACACACGGGGATCAAGCTTTTGCAAATTAAAGTAAATCTGACACCTGAAGTCTCGATACAACAGTGTTCGACTCCTGTCTTCTGACTCATCAGAAGTGGTAAAACCACTCATGATAAAATTAGAACAGGAAAAGATGTGATAGTGATTTGCTTTCTGAGACATCCAGTTAGACCGCTGATAATCGGCGTTATACAAGGATTGTATAATTCTCTATTCCCTTAACTTCAATTCTTTCTCACATTTATCATTTTATCACTTTCGGTTTCCAGTGAAAGAAATACCTCCTGTATTTGGTTAAATGTTGCCATGTAAAGCTGATGGAAAGCTGAAACAAGAACGTTAACTGGAAGCAACTACAGCAGGAGAACATCATGGCAGGAAAAGGTTAAACGGAGGTACTTACCCAACTCAGTGCCTGAAATGGTCAAATACTGCATGTAAATAACAGACGTCAACACCAAATGAACACTCTATATGAAATTAATTGCTATTATCCAGTGAAGGATATAATCATATACTTCTCCTCCAAGTCAAATTTCGTTAAGAAATACACAAATACACACTAGTACACGTTTCCTTTGCAACTTCATCAACTATGGCGAACAGGACGCTGAAGTTGGCCACAAGGTACATGTGTTCATTGTCAGTGGCGATGGTAGCCAGTTCCGTCTTGTCGATGGCGCTGCCGATGCCGATGGAAATAACCTGGATGTCGGTGTTATGGATCTGGTTTGCTACGGACGCTGTGTTAATTGTATCCGTGGACTGGCCATCGGTGAGGACGATGATGATCTTCTCCGAGTCATTCCGTCCCCCGTGTATCGGGAGGAAGCTGTTGTGGAAGACAAAGGCGAGCCCGTCATCCGTCTGGGTGTTCCCGGGTCTGCGGGGATTTGGAAGATAAATATGTATTTGCATTAAATTCATGGCTAATTGAACATGTTTGATATCCAAATGACAATAAGTAACATCTGCAAATATATAATATCTACCGACATCGTAAGCACAATAACCATCTAAAGTATCCTGTAGACTGCTTTATTTTTTAGGTGTTGGATATTCACGCAAACTTGCCTTTTATAAGATTTACATTTTTGTACCTTATGTTCGTCAGTTTTTGTATTAGCGTTTTTGCCTTTTGTTGCTTTTTGTTTTGTTGTTGTTGTTGTTGTTTGCGCTTGTTTGTTTCTTGTTTTGCTATTTTTCCTTTCCTATACTTGCTGCTGTTAGTGGCTGGTGCAGCTTGTCTCTATTGTAAATGGTGGTTCGAGATAACCAGATCCGGGTACTCACTGATAGATGACGCTATTGATGGCGGCCAGAACATCTGTCTTGTTGCTGTATTCGTTCAGGAAGAACTGGTTGAAGGGGCTCGTCGCGAACACTACCACACTCACCTAGTTACGGAGGAAAGGTAACATTAGCATATCCTCCTCGCGCAGAAGACAGTGAAAACATTAAATGGACATTGTGTTTATATAAAAACATCACACACCACGATCCAGATGTGGCAATGGTGAGGTTGGTTTGGGTTGGGAGTGTGCTTTTCTACTTCCCAGTCGATCAGGTATACTAGACTAAATCAATTTCAGTTGCTGTTTTCAACCAAAAATATTACGTCAACCGTACTGGAATTGCTTCCGGGTCAGTAAATGTGACCTTTGTTTTTTTAAAGTATCTGCCGCACATTCTATAAGGTCATTTAAACATCATTCCACGCTGAAGTGATCGGTATATACCTTGAGGCTTCGAAAACCTTTTAAATATTCCCACTCTATAATTTCAAAACAAACTCAAACTCAATATTCATAACAAATACCTCTAAAAAGCAATGTCCATTGTACGATTGTACGATGTCCTGAGCAAGCGTTTAGGAATGTCTATATACTAAAATACTGATGTTCGCAAAAAGTACCTGTCACAAACTCATGCAAAGCCAAGTCAACGTTTCGTCCGAAATAAACATAGGAACATATGATGGTACAGGTCTGAACACAACACATATGTGTCTCTAAGTGTGCACTTTATGTACTTTTTTTTGTAAAATATTGACTTTTCAGTTAGAACTTCTAACAAGAAAGAAGTATGATGTGACAATGCACCTGAACGTCTCCGGGCCCGATGTTGAAGGCTTTAGTGACGTTGTAGATAAATTTGACCTGTTCTGTGAAACCGTCTTGCCCTTCACTGCTTGATGAGTCCAGGAGGAACACGATGTCGGCCGGACGCGTTCTGCATTCTGCGATGCCAGTGACAAATTAACGTACTTTTTTACAAGCAAAAATAGCTTCAAACTGGATGGGGTTTTTTTATATATGGAAGTATATGTGAACGTGAAAAGGCGCCGTGCACGCTTTGCTTCGATATTCGGATTTGGGAAAACCATGTACACGGGTTTTGAAGCTCACGCAAAATGTGCTCGACGGTTTATACAATATAACTTTAAATTACTAGTTTAACATATTGAAAACCAAGGGGCATAACCAGAATTTTAAATTCAAATTTGCACGCGAACATCAGTTAACTGCACAGACACATCGTTTCAAATTGTTATGATTAGGTGTTAGATTAAATGAGAGTTACCTGTGAGAGTGTTATTCACTATTGCTGAATCTGCAACAAAAATCAGCATCTACTTGATAATCCATATTTTATAATAAACGTGCAAAATAGTTGAAAGTATACTGAACAGCAAAAGAAACGCAAGTTTCGAAACAATGAAATCTCATAAAAGTTCGTTCATGGTAAAGTGACAAAAGCTAGACTTGCGTTTCTTTTGCTGTTCAGTATATTATCATAGCGCTCAGACCACAAATCAGTCTGTAACAGGAAACTGTTGTTTCAGATATAAGATGGTTAGGAATCCTGACATTTTATATGGCTTCAGTCAGGATGAACAATCGGTACGGTGTCGTTCATGGGACGTTCTGGAATCATGTCTCTGTCCAGCCATTAGTGAGCGAGAGAGTTGGGTTTTACGCCGTTTTTAGCAATATTCCAGCAATATACGGCAACATTATTGTTTTTGTTTTAACATTTAATTTAAATGCGAGTCCAATATCACACCATCATGAGTGAGTGAGTAAGGTTTTACGCCGCTTTTAGCAATATTCCGTAACATCACGGCGGGGTACAAGAGAAATGGGCTTCACACATTGTAACCAAATGGGGGATCGAACCCGGGCTTTTGGCGAAACGAGCGAACGCTTTAACCACTAGGCTACCCCAACGCCCCTGTCCAGCAATTTACGAAACGGTAATCGGCACCTTGAAATGATACACAAAACCATCTATCATTTTATGCCAAGAAACAGCTTGTTATGAGCATGTCTGGACCAAGCAATCAGTTGACTGACGCAATCCGCCAAGTCATAGAGGATACGTTGTGGACAAGCGACAAGCATGGGTGACAGAGGATCAATTATAACTCGAAATTCCCCTGAGAAACACAACCTAAGGCGCCACATTCACCTTACAGAGTTGCGTCCCTTGGGTGCGCCAGAAACCTGTGATTGTGGGGCCGAATCCCGGTTGTTCTTGATTATGTTTTGGGGGTTGTCAGCGCCCTACCCGTTCACCAAAAAGGTCATTGTCATAGACCCGCATAGTTTCGTCTTTCCTCCCGTCGTGACATAATACTTTGTAAAGGGGCATTAATCCAAACACAATCACTCCATCAATCACTCTCTCTCATATAAATATCCATGTCTCACCTAAAACAGCCCTAGCTGCGTCCAGTCTAGCCAGTATTTCTGCAAAAGACGGTCTTATATGGTAACTAGGTAATGGTATTGTTAAACATTTAGTAATTGTGTTCCATAAATTTACCTTGTGATTCAGCAGGCGTTCATAACATTAACGTTTTAACAATGATTAGTTTTCAGGAAGTATTACTGTCTTATGTAAGAAGTGGTTTGGAAGTTAATTTGAGGCAGTGAGTGAGTTTAGTTTTACCCCGCCTTTTTAGCAATATTCCAGCAATATCACGGCAGGGGACACTTGGAATGGTCTTCACACATTGTACCTATGTGAGGAATCGTACCCGGGTCTTCTGCGTGACGATCGTACCCGGGTCTTCTGCGTGACGAGCGTACGCTTTAACCACTAGGCTACCACACCGCCCTTCAAATCTTCTAGAACGGCTACAGACTAATCCAGCGTTATGAAACTTGGTAGGTAGACTATATAAGTGGACAAGCATATGCCCCTCTCATTTCTTAACATATCAAGTAGCGGTTGGGTGGCCTAGTGGTTAAAGCGTTCGCTCGTCACGCCGAAGACCCGGGTTCGATTCCTCGCATGGATACATTGTGTGAAGCCCATTTCTGGTGTCCCCCGCCGTGATATTCCGTAAAATCACACACACTCACACACTCTGAACATATCAAGACCAGCGGTTGTGTGAAGATCTTATTTACACCCGAGATGCACAGGCTAGGCCTATTGTGGAAACTTCGGCAATGGTACAAACGTTACACTCTAAACCACAAGTGTTCAAGCAGAACAGTGGATTTTCTGAATTGGAACACAGTGTTTTAGAACATGTGTTCAAAGTCTGGGACTTGATTTCGTAATATATATGGTTTACAATTGATAAACAACTGAATAAGTAACCTCGAAAGTAGACTATCATAACGCAAAGTGTTCCTTTACATTTGATAAAGTGAACACATTAGGACGGTATGTATTCTTTAAGGTTTGATTTGATACATATTCGGACGGCGTGTGTTCTGATTAGAACAGCTGATGTTCTAACAAAGTGACGTCATGATGGGCATGCACAGTTGTCTTCCCCAACGCTACCAAAAGTCGTTTGGAGCTACAGGTACAAAAAAATATTCCCATGCAGAGATAACTGGAAATTTACTAAAGGTTTATTCTAGGTTTCATTACTAAAAACACATTTACACAGACAAAAGGGTAAGTGGTATATTAACATTCCTGTGTCATTCAGTATGTGGTTACAAAGATTCTTCCACAATGTACAAACGTGAATTGCATATTCTTTCAAAATGAACCTGTTTTGTATTGACTAAAACCGTTGGATAAACGTTTTTCGTATTTTTTGTGGGTAAAATAAAACAGTATTTTCATTCAAAATTGTTTGTCAGGAATTAGAGTTTTGTATAAAATTTGAAATCACGTGTATGCCACATCATATCTTTCAAATGAATTATGAAATTTTAGTGTTTATTTATTGCAGGATGTGACCGTGGAAGAGATTGACGGGGCTCTGATGACAAATCCTCAGAAGGTCCAAAAATCGTCGCTTTCGTCAGAGATGATGCTCTGGCCGGCCTCCACATCGCTGCCGACACCGTGTCATGCTAGGTGAATGTCGAGGGTGGCATCATGGCCGCGGTATTGAAACTGATGGCGATGTACTACATTTTCAATTTAAGCTATCCCAGAGTATACACGATGGTTTTGTCGGTTCTACAAGCCTTGGTTATGGAAGAAACGGTCAATTCAAGAGATGTGTCCTCAAAGTACAAACGCTTCGTCAGAGAAATGGGGGAAGTTTTCTCATCCTTGCCCGACCCTGAGATATAGGAGCTCTTTTTTCAGCGTTTTCTTCAATGATGGGCTATTTTAAATGCAGATGTGATAAGATGTGCACGAATGAGTTGTTGCAGGTAAAGTTAGCTTCTCTTACACTCCATTTAGCCGTCCGCGGTCTAACAAAACGATAATAACAATAACACGTTTTCATATTCAATATAGGTGTTAATAAAGTTTTGAATCATTTCATATTGTTGTTGTTTCTATTCGTTCATGTTAGGCTGGTGGAAGTCTAAGAACACTAGTGTTCTGAAATAAGGCTCAGAACACTCAAGGGCGTTCTAAATCTGTTACAGCGTCCGAGGCGTCCGGGGATGTTTTAAATCGAACACATACAGAACACACAAAGAGTGTAATGAAATCAAAACACGAGCGTTCTGTAAGTGGAACGCTGGCGTTCTGACAGCAGAACACATAGTGTCTACATCAGAACACTCCGACTGCGTTCTAAATCTTTTACAGGAAGGGTGTTCTCAGAACTAGAACACATAGGTTTAGAGTGTATATATTACCGTCATCACCCGCCATTGCAGTAAACTTACAGAACTACGTCAGTTCATTGAGAATCTTCTGCCATTAAAATGACCTTCGGTTTCCTGTCGGGCACGTGATCATGCAACATTTTGAAAATATGAATATGTTTTCTCTAAATGTTGCTTGACGTAAATAAATGTAAAAAATAACATTAATCACAACACAGCACCTACCGTCTTCATGTGCTGACGCCTGTCCCAGAAGAAGTACGACTGCAGCCCACACAAACATGGCCATATTGTATGGTTCTCAATTCTTTGTCTGAGCGAGCTTCGGTCTTATCTCTGACCTTTGCATGCATGCAAATAATTCCCACGATTCCCATGAGTCGTCAGTTTATCTTGCACACTATGCCGGTATAGGTTCCATTCACAGAAATTATGAGCTTAAATGTTTGGGTCACAAGAGTTTTACCCGTAAAGATCCTGGTTAGAATTGATCTTCAGTAGCCCATGCTTGTCGTAACAAGCGACTAACGGGATCGGGTGGTCAGGCTCGCTGACTTGGTTGACACATGTCATCGGTTCCCAACTGCGCAGATCGATGCTCATGCTGCTGATCACTTGATTGTCTGGTCCAGGCTCAATTATTAACAGACCGCCACCATATAGCTGGAATATTGATGAGTGCGGCGTATAACTAAACTCACTTACTCACTCACAAGATTTTTTTGTCTTTAATTTTCCTTCGGGAGGTCTAGAGGGTTACGAATTTGAAAGGTGAGGGAGGGAGTTAGGTATGCCGCTTTTAGCAATATCACGGCGAGGGGACACTAGAAATGGGCTTCCCACATTGTAACCATGTTGGGAATCGAACCCGGGTCTTCGACGTGACGAGCGAACGCTTTAACCACAAGGCTACCCCACCAATTTGAAAAGAAGCTTGTATTTTACACGGGAAAGCATGCTTTGCGTTGGTTCAGTTGGTAATGACAGCATTGTTTACTGCCTCCAAATAGCTGGAACACTGGTGAGTTACACAACACACAAACAAACAGCCTTGTTTATTTCACACTTTAGACCATTATGTGTAATAACTTTGTATTTCTTAAACACGGTATTGAGGTATATGTTTCGGAATATAGAAAGTTTCTTTTTTTAGACACCCCAGCTTTTTAACAAACACCGTGGGGAAGTGGATAGTGCGTCTGCCGGAAGAGGTGAAGGTCGACGGTCGGATCCTTTGGCCGTGTCATACGGAAAGACGTTTAAAGAGAGTAGTTATGTTGTGTTTTGCTGTGTTTGACCTGGATATTCATGTTAACCCTCGGCATTGTATCCCAGCTGCCTAACACTACAAGACTGGAGCTAAACTGCGTGTCACACACTCAGGCGGGCAACCTCGCTATATATACTACTCGAGTGGGGAGCATTTTAACTATAATATCATGAAAGAATCTGTTCCTAACTTCTTTTGGGAGATATAAATGTCAATATAAAGTCGTGAACACAACGAAAAACCACATTTCACATCACATCACAGCCACTTCAAACTATATATCTCCATAAACCAAACATTTTCAGCCATATTTCAGGATTTGTTAAAAAAATCTCAGTATTAATATATCTTATCATTTAACCCATTTAAAATTGGGTCCTAGGTTTGCACATGCATTCATTCGTGACGTCATTGCGCTAGGTCTGCCACCATGAGTTTGGGAAAAACTGCTGATGGTATACGTGAGTTATTGTGTTAATATGTACATACTTGTATATCTTTATTGAATGACTCTTGGTTTTAACATAACACACCTTCAGTCATATTTCTAAAACTGTGTTCAAGAATTTGTTAAATAACCAGAAAAGGTTCTGAGCAAACTGCAACAGGTCCCTAATGACCTATATTTTATGGGCGCTTCTGGGGCTATTGTCCACGAACAATAGCTTCGCCAGATCGAAGGCTGCTCCAGCTGCAAATGTCTTGAATGGCAACTGCCCGAAGCCGCTTCTTGTACTCACGATCACTATCTGGTGGTTTCTTTAAACTACATGTATCTGAAAAACTGAGCATTCACGAGAATAAGATTTCTAATTAAGATCAAATACTGTCATCTAAGTTTGAGACAATGTACGTATAAGGGTATAAGTACACATCAAGATTACATCCTGTTTAGACACACGTACTGACGAGTTTCCATCATGGCTAGAGACAGGACACGTATTAGGGAATTAACATCGAGGCTAAAGACACGACACGTATTGGTTGGAACACATCCAGTCAAGAGACAGGACACGTTTTGGTGAGTTCACATCCAGCCTAGAGACAGGACACGTATTCGTGAGCATTAACTACCTGCTAAAACTGTAAAGTACAAATTGTACTGCAGCCTTTGATATACTTCCTGGTACTCTAGACGTTTTCTAAATTCATTTACATTGGCAAATTTCAGTTTTAGTCCCAGGCTGAAGAATATTTTGTGTGGCATGTCACCAAAACAAAGCCCGTTGAAGCGTACATAATATATATTCCTCATCTCATGTAAGGTGTGCCCGGAAAATTAGTTTCTTCAAAGTGTTATATTCATAGGCGGATCCAGAGGGGGGAGGGTGTGTGTGCAGGGTTCCCCCCCCCCTTGTGCTGAAAGTTTGTTAAATGACCATTGAAACTCGGGTGGAAATGAAGTGTGCACCCCTCCTTTTCTCAAAAAGCTGTATCCGCCCCTGATATTTTCGAAACTCATTTTATTTTTGTAAATATGCGAAGCTTTGCACAACTAACATATTTCCTGCTGCAAGAAAGTACCGGAGAACACGTTAATCGTGTTAAAATACGTTATAAGAAGACATTATAAAATACGTTTTCTACATTCCCATAAAATACCGACGGTGAATATACCCTAGACTAACGTTTAATCCCTGAATACATATAACTGTCATAGCCTGACCTGAACCTGAGGAAATCTAGACTTGCTTCATTTAGGGCTTTAGCATTGCAGGGAGGGCTAAGCATTGGGGAAAATAATATGGTTCAGGGGCTGTGAGACAGACTAAATATACCTCAGTGATCGATTTTAGGTGAGCTCCTTGGTGTTTCAAGTAAAGATCTACGACTGTGACACGCGAGCATCAGCATATGCTATTATCATATAGCTTAATAGCATTGTCAAAACCTGCAATACATCAAAACAGTCTAAGGGTATTCATTGGGTATCGTATCGATTTTCAATATAAAACATGAATTGTAAAACGAAAGCAGAATGTAGCGATAGCAATGTGTATTTGTGGAACAACATGTCAGAGTTGGAAAATGTTGTATAAATAATATTACCCAATCATTAACGTGAAACAAAATGTAATTAATGTAGACACTGAGTACGAAAGTAGCATATGGAACGCTTAATGGCGGGTGTGTCTGCTGCATGGATGAGACGGTTCAACTTGGATGGTAAACCAGCACAGTTTATGTATGACGTGATGCGGGTCCATTCCTGACACCTTCAGACGTGGATGGTCTTGAGGAATTACTTCGGATGGGTAGGTATTGTTTTCACGTACCCAATATGCACTGACCCTCCCTGAAATATATTGCTGCAGCAGACGAGAACCTGATCAGTGTTTACCAGAATCTTTTCAGGACATGATTCATAAATTCATTCGTGCATGCCGTTAAGTTTAATTTACTTTCCATGGCATTGATTTGTTACTGTGTTTGTTGTGATCAATGGACGGCATTGAGTCGGCACATGTTACGTGGTGGACAGTTTAACATTGCTGTGTGATATGAATTCATATCACATACATATGGTGAGCATGAATTCAGATGTAGTGCACAATGTCCTACTAAGTTGCTAGTTGTTTATTTGCGTTCATGTTGTAACGTTTGTTTAATGCTACATACAGCAATATTCCAGCCAAATACCGACAACAGTCTGTAAATATTTGAGTCTGAACCAGACAATCCAGTGATTGACATCATGAGCATTGATCTACGAATTGGGATAGGATGACATGCATCAACCAAGTCAGCAAGCCTGGCGTCCCAATCCCATCAGTCACCTCTCAGTGCTAAGCCAGATCTTCATGGGTTTATGCTGTAGCGTGTGATGTTAGTTTATTTTTACGACGCTTTTAGCAATATTCCAGCAATATCACTGCAGGGGACACCGGAAATGGACTTTACACATTGTACCCATGTGGGGAATCAAACCCGCGTCTTCCACATGACGAGCAAACACCTTACCCACTAGGCTACCCCTTGCCCCATGATTTGTGCTATAACAAGTTGGTAGGGATGTACAGTGATAGTGATGAAAACTATATGAATGAATGACTGGAAGTCAGTATGACACCAGGTGTTCATGGAATGGTCAACATGTCCTGCTCCACTTGTACCACCTCACCCACGGGTATTTGTTGCCAGACACTGAATCCAGTGTTCCTGTCACATGGTGACTGCAGGCAGTCAATTGGGATCTTCATACAGTAAGCATAGTACATAATGGCAACTCCTAACAGTTACGTCTGCGTCAGGCAAACCGTTGGTTGACGTTATGAGCAAACATCTGTTTTCTTCAGTATAATTATTCAGCTCTCACATTGTATCTTGTTTGTTATTCTAACTCAGCGCTCAGCAATATTGCAGATATATCATGTCAGTCTGTGAATAATTTATCTGGACCATACATTCCCATGATCAATATCATTACTAGACATTAGCATCAAGTGGCATATTTTGGTATTGATAAACTGCAAACAACCAATTCAGTGGGTTTCCCTTCACCACAAAGGTTGCTTTAGACCCATCTTCTTACCTATCACCATGGTAACCACTGATAGAATCAAAAGTACATGAACATAAACTTCATCTACTGGGGCAAATGCATCATAAACAAGTATAGTTCAAAACGTAAATAATACTAGATGAAATTACAGGTTTTAACTGAAATATAAATCATAGAATTTCCAAACTGCACCATGTTTGTGAAGATAGAAAAAAATCAAACATGTAAGGCAGGTCAAGTAAATTCTGCATGGTTAAAAAGATCAGTCATACTGAAACAACAAAATTATTTAGTTTAATTAATCAAGACATGGGTAGACACAATTGGTTATGTGCAACTAGTCCACAGCTTTGGGGATATGAGGCTTATGTAAAAGCAACTTGATTTCTGGAGAAAACAGTAAGTCCATCTGGGTATTTAGTAGTCTGAGCCTAAGAGTCTAGGGCCTGCATGTCTCTCCGTGAGACAACGTTCATGGCCTTCACCTCTCTGTTTGTATATAAGTGTTGGGAATTGGTTAAAATCTCATAATTGATGATTGGTTCATTACAACCGATCAATCATCG